TCAGGAGCTTCAAGTGAGTCTTCTGAAATCATCGACAAGAGACCTGCTGAGAACCGCTGGACTGCCCAGATGTCAGCATTTTTTCGCAACATGCTGATATTGCGTGATATTGCTCGCTTTTGAACATGAATGAAAAAGGAATTCATTCTTGAGATTCGGTTCAGGACAGTGAAAGTCAACAAAACTAGAAGTCTCTTTGAACTGAGGCTGTGGGAATGACTTGGTTCCTGATAAAGCGCCAAGTTACCCTTATGAAGCACCAGGCCTTGTTGATCGCTACGAAAACAGCTGTATTGCATCAATAGTTTGGGTACATGCAGTGCCGTACTCTACAGTGCAGCGGGTGCCATTTTTTGATGAGGCAATGTCACAACTTCGACTACTTCTGGGAAGCCATCCCATATCCTTTGCCCGGATGGATTCTTGGATTAATTTCACTGCCGCACAGACAGAAGCAGTTGCTTTTCAACCGACTTTAGCACAATGTTGTGGAATCATTTTCTTGATTCCCGTTAGATGTCAGAAGGGTTAAAAACAGTGCAGTTAGAATATACTCTGGTATAAAGGCCGTTTTCACCGCAAGATTCATCATGTGAGAGTGAGAGTACGATCAAAAGCCAAGGACGCGTGAGACGATTTAGTTCAGTCCAATGGCAAAATTTGCCATTAGAAGTGCTCTGGAAGTACAAGAGCAAGAGAGCAGCTGAAAGGGCTGAACTGGGTAAGAACAAGAAGAGAGGAGGAAAAGAATAGGTTTGTTTACGTTTGCTTCATGCGGCTCCTTGGGCCGCTGAAAAACACCATGCTGCTTTTGACAGACCCTGTTGGTGTGTGCGTGGGTGGGTGGGTGTAGTTATATAACAAGGTTTGATTTCCCTTGTGATGGATAGCCCCACTGCGCAGTGATTAGCATGTATCTTTATCTTCAAACACATGCAGTAAGGGACCAGCAGTAAGGGACGGCAGTACTGTAAACAACATATCATTTTGACATATTCTAACTGCAAGTGCAGTTAGAATACGCCGCGGCGTACAAAATTAGCATATTCTATCTGCGTTCACTTATTTGTTCATATTCTAACTGTGGGTCCCTTCATGTACCATGTTGATTCCCAACGGGTTTGTCTCCCACTGCCATGTTCGGTTTATTTCCCCATTACACCCCCGAAATCCAACGTGGAACTGCATGCTATTCCTGAGGTCTCCTAACATGAGCCTATGGTACGGTCTCAAGTGGATTTTGTTCCACAGGAAACCATGCAACGAACTTTTTCAATAAAATCACTCAAAAACTGACATGGAACCCAATGCAGGCCCAAACTGAACCCAAACTGCACCCTGAAACAGCCAACATGGAATTTGAACAAGTTATCACAAAGCGATCTGCAACCTTGAAGGGTGATTTGAAGGTTACACCTGGAACCCAAGTGGTTTTTAAGGTGTTTTCCTTGAAAATTCCATGTTAGTGACTTTCGGGCGACCCTACTTTTCACTTCATATTGCGTTCACGTTTTAATAACTATTCAGGTTCCAGGTCTGTGGTGGGGAAAGAACTGAAACCAAAACACCTCCAAGAAAAGGTCGTGACTTATTTTTGGATATGTGTTGGGTTCCGTGTTCGTCGCACAACCTTCCAAAGCAAGCCGCAACAGGCAGAAAACCTGACAGCGAAGAGAGAAAAAGCAAGCGATATGATAACAAATATCAGCAAACTAAGAAAGAGATGGAAAGAGCAACAAGGAGCAAAAGAAAAACAAACGTGACAATTTTGTGGTGAATTTGCTGGAGCTGGTCCCCCCAAAAGTTAAACTCGTTGGGTTCCATGTTGGTTTCCGTTGTGGGTTCGACGACCGCGGGACGCAGCGGGTTGATGGAGGAGAGCCTGACCAGGGGGAGCATACGAGGAGACAAAATGTGGCCACCAGCCCAGACTCAGCCCAAAAACGTCCAAATGGCACATTTTCGCCTTTACCAAGTGTAAAGGAAAACTAGGATCCCTAAATCCATTCAAATCCGGTTTTTGTTTTTTGCTTGTTGTTTTTTCTGCTGTTCACTTCCTCCAACGAAATGCCCATTCAGGCTCCAAGTTAGTTTTCGGGTTCCTGGAGTCTGGTATGCAAAAAAAACACCAGTCCAGATTCAACCCAAGCATGCTGGGGAAAACATTCACCAAATGCCACTAGACCTAAGAAAAACTAGGGCTGAGTGGCGCAACAAGCTCCAAAATATGCTTCCCCATCCCACCCCAGGGGAGAGGGATTCCTTCTTGATGTTTTTTTAATTTGTGTTGGTGCCAGGCCTTCTGCCAATAAAAATGCAGACATGCGTGGGGAAGAATGATAAGGTTCTTTCATGACAAGGTTCAACTTATGTTTTTTAAAACAATATCGGTTGGGTTCCATGTTGGTTTCGGCTGCAAACCAAAGCCACACATGCAAAGCCTTGCTGCAAGCGACGGCTCACGGAGCACGGACATCGGGGTTTTGTTTGGTTGGCTTCCATGTTTCAGGGTATGGGGGAGGTCACCATGGGAAGGTACCATGGGGGTCCATGTTGGGTTCCATGTTGGTTTCCAGCTTTCAGGGTATGAGGGAGGTCACTGTTGGCTTCCATGTTGGCTTCCATGTTGGTTTCCAGCTTTCAGGGTATGGGGGAGGTCACCATGGGAAGGTACCATGGGGGTCCATGTTGGGTTCCATGTTGGGTTCCATGTTGGTTTCCAGCTTTCAGGGTATGAGGGAGGTCACCATGGGAAAGGTACCGTGGGGGTCCATGTTGGCTTCCATGTTGGCTTCCATGTTGGTTTCCAGCTTTCAGGGTATGGGGGAGGTCACCATGGGAAAGGTACCATGGGGGTCCATGTTGCTTCCATGTGGGCTTCCATGTTGGCTTCCATGTTGGTTTCCACTTTCAGGTTATGGGGGAGGTCACCATGGGAAAGGTACCGCGGGGATCCATGTTGGCTTCCATGTTTCACTGTCAGAGTATGGGGGAGGTCACCATGGGAAAGGAACAATGGGGGTCTTGGGAGGGAGATCACCATGGGAAAGGTACCGTGGGGGTCCATGTTGGGTGCCATGTTCGCTTCCATGTTGGGTTCCAGCTGCCAGGGTATGGGGGAGGTCACCATGGGAAAGATAGCGGTTGGGTTCCATGTTGTCTTCCATGTTGGTGTCCAGCTTTCAGGATATGGACCGGGTGCTCCAGGCGGACCTTCCCCTGTTGGGTCGAAGTCCTCGAGCCGCTGCGTCTCCCTCGACGTCCTCGAGCAATTGTCTCGAGCTAACTTGGAATTCCCCCGTAAGTGTCCCCGTGGCTTTGGCGCCCGGAGGCGCCGGCCGGAGCTTCCCCTGTTGGGTCGAAGTCTTCGAGCCGTTGCATCTCCCTCGACGTCCTCGAGCAAGTGTCTCCCGGTAAGTGTCCCCGTGGCTTTGGCGCCCGGAGGCTCCGCCCGGAGCTTCCCTGGTGGGTCGAAGTCCTCGAGCCGTTGCGTCTCCCCTGCCCGGAGCTTCCCCTGTTGGGTCGAAGTCCTCGAGCAAGTGTCTCCCGCTGGGTCAACGGGGAGCGCCCGGAGGTTCTGGCCGGAGGTCCTCCCAACGGGAAGGCTACAATGAGAAAATGAAAATGTTACGTTTATGGTGGGTAAATGGGAAAAAGTATCTGTATAACATATCAAAAATCGAAAAGGATCAGGGTTCAGATAAGGGGGGAGGAGTTGTGCAGAGGCTTTTGGTAGGTACAAAACGCAATGCATAAGGTGCGCAACTACAAAATTCAGTGCATACCTGTTTTGCAGCTACCAAATACAGAACACAATCTTTTCTGACTCGGAAAATAATTCAACATCAGCACCTTACAAAATCCAATGCATCTGAAGTTAAAAAATAGCTGAAAATCGGAATTGCTAACATGATTTTTCCCAATGACATTTTGTAGTTGGGTCTATGCCATCCAAAGTTCCGACCAACATAATTTCGGAGAACATTTTGTAGTTGTCAATGATTGAACTTAGTTGGATCAAGTGCTGACCCCGTGCAATTTGTTAGATGGCATTCTGTAGCTTCATGATCTGTTTGTGTCCATGTACATGTCACGCACTGCTTCCTTTTTTCCACCTCTTCTCACTTCAACATATACAACTACAAAATGCAAATGAGGATTTGAAAGGAATCAACTACAAAATGAATGCAAGTACAAAATGGTGGTCCCAACTCCTCCTTTTTGTACAAAACGACCCCTGGCTGGCATTCTGTACTGTAGCCCAAGTCCTCCCCTTTACGTAGCTAAAATTTGAAGGAGGATTGAAAAGGAATATATAGTTTGAATATATGTTTTTGTTTACTCTTTATGTTTTGAATATGTTTTCGATGTGTTTGTAAAATGTGTTGAGGATATTTATTTCGTGTGTTTGTGTGTTTTTTGACATGTACTGTATGTGTTTAAAATTGTTTAAATTTGTCTTCACAATTTGTACTTTGGAATTTATCTTGGACAAAATGACTCATTGAGTCAAAAGAGCTATTATGTAGCATCTTACACCCATCAACCACCACAAAGAGCATAATGGTTCCGAATTCCCCGTGTCAGCCGCCATGGCTAACATGGAACTTTTGGATGAGCACTCTCTGGCAGCTTGTGGGGTTCTATGCTAGTATGCCATGCAGCCAAAAATTGTGCAAAAATGTCCAGATTCACTAGCACCAACCTGGCACTTATCCCGCTCATGAATTTTAACATGGGTGTGCTAACATGGAACCCAAATTTGTTTTATTGTTTTTTTGCCCGACGTTGGTTTTCGGGAGAGTACATTCCCATTTTGCAATATTGTACCACCATGTTTGTTGCTTAAGTCATCATTCTTGACGTTTAATCCCCAATCAAAAGGGATTTCCCATTAAACCCCATTAATATCCATTAATTAGATCCCGCAGAATCACCAGTTTTCCCAGCATTTTCTCAACATGTCAATGGTGCCTGCCATCCCCTTGGGACCAAGGAGCTTCACACCTTCTCCGCCCTGATCTGAACCGATAAAGGCCTCGACACTCAGAGTCCTTGGCCAACCGGCGCCCTTCGGCTGATGCTGGAGTTTGAAGAAATCCAACTAGGGAAATCCATGAAATCCCCTGTAAAAAAAAAACATCAACTTCCCAAAATGATCGAGAATTGCAAGTCACTTGAGCTGTCTGGAAATCTGAAGCAGGTCAAGTTGTTGAACACTGAGAAAAACACACATCGATCTCAACCACTCATTCCTGATGTTTTCGGAGCCTCATGGCGCGCTGCCACAACCGGCCCGTTCGTCAAATTGTTGAGATATTCGCTCATCCCAAGGTCCCTTCTGGATCAGGACTCCAGGACCAACAAAAATCTTAAGCTGTCTCGCTGCAAAGCCACGTTACATGGTTCAATCTCCATCTGAGAGATGGTTAAACTGGTTAAACCAAACTAAAAATTGACTTTTGACGGTTAGATCCCCTTGTTTGATGATTCTGTTGTTTGATGGGTCGGTCCCAAATTCCAAGCAATCGGCAAATTCCGGACCACTACCCGCATCTGCGGCCAAGTTGCATACCTTCCTTCACGACGCCATCGTAGCCTGGTGTCATCATCAAACACTGATCTAGTCACGGTGCAGGGGAGACCCAAAATCAATGGATCACCTGGCAACTGGAGGTTTCCGGCTGGGGGTACCCCAATAGCTGGATGATTTGTAATGGGAAATCCGAAAAGAAAATAAAATGGATGGTTTGGGAGTGCCCCCCCCGTTTATCACAAGGACATCCTATCGTTACCAGTCAGTGACCATGGTGTTGTGAAGAGCCAAAAGGTGCTCACCTTCCGTACAGCTAGCGCCATATTTAAGAGCTTTATATAACAGTGACAAAGAAATGAATCTTTGTTCGTGCCATAGTGTGACAGTACTGAAACTACAGGATGGCCCAATACGTTTCTAGCAACCAGCTATCTGCCATCCTTGACTCACCCTTGAACCGTTACCGCCAAGAAGCCGTGGGATGCCCAATCCGAAGGATGGAAAATGTAGGGATACTCTCCTCGGCAGGATCTGATGCCATGGGGCATTCGCCAACGATAAGGAATGGCAGCATCACTGCTTAGCAACCCCCAAAGAGATAGAAAAACAAAATCCAACAGAATTTCAGAGCCCACGGTTTCTATCCTTTTTGGGGGGTTACTAGTTACTAGTTATCCCTTGCGTTTCCAAGCAAGGTTCCAGTCATCCCAGTCCCATGGGTTTGCACGTGGTATTTGTGCGCCTGAAACTCTTCAGGAATTGGCCATGCCTTGGTCGAGGCACAAATGTGGTAGCCGAGCTAGCTCCAAAATGCCTGTAAATAAATCAACACCGGCCAATGAGACTGCAGATATCAGATATCAGATATTAGATGTAGATATATATATATACATATATATAATATATATATACATATATATAATATATATATATACATATATATATATAATATATACATATACACACATGTATTTATCGATCATGCATGCACATCATATGCCTTCTGGAGGTTAGAGTCTAATTATAGTTGAAGGTTCCCAGCCAGTCATGTTGACTATTGGATGGTAAATATCTTGACGTTTCACTTAATACTTCATGTAAGTTGATTCATGAACAGCCCAGGACTATGGCAATGTGATGCTGCCCAAGCGACGTTAAAGGTGACGTTTTCAAAGGAGGCACCAGGGATCAGAAGCTCCATGTTGTGCTTAACCATCTCCTCTGATGCTGCGTGCTTACTTATTTCTGGGATCCTTGAAAGCATATGGTGTCAACTTACCTCTGGCGGGAGAGCTAGTCCCGATCTCGAATAATCTTGGAATTTTTGATTACCTGCAAGGATAGACCCCTAGTCCTCTTCTCCACGTTGGTTCTGCCAGAAAATCCAGACTCCACAATTCACTTCACACCTTTTGCCATACGATTGGTCTTTCATGAATGAATGTTGTGCCAATTGGTGCCGGTATCACTTTCTTTGGATCGCAAGTATCCCAATTATCCCAATTGCAGTACTGTACCGCAGCCTTTCTCCACATCAGCCATTAACAACTCAACCGCCGCTCCAGCGCCAATTTGTAGTGTTTTTTCTGCTTCTCCGTGGCTTGAAATCCTGGCAGGCCATACCCTGCGGTGAAGGTTCGAGAAAAATCCACGTAGTAACCTGGCACGTCTCGGTCATGGCACGCTGGGGTCCAAAAATGGGAGTTCCCACTAAAAGTGTGGTTTTTATTGGATTTGTGGTGTCCTTGTGAAGATAAAACGCAAAAATCCAACAAAATCCAATAAAATTAACAGGGGAATCTTGGAGGTCAGTTGGTGGGGTCGCTACTAGCTAATGATGAACTGCAATTATTGAAGGCGATTTTCATGACGTTGTCATACAGCAAATTTCTTGATATTTCTTTGTCATTGATCTGCCAGACATGGAAACTTGATGAAACTTGGACAACTATGAAACACTTAAAAGTGGCCAGGTTGTGAGTTTGTCATCAAACTGGACGACTGCGTCAAACCCGAGTATGTTTGGTGTTCATTTTTGAAACCCTAACCAAAAAATCAGAAGCTAAAACACCTGGCAACCTTAACATACCTTAACAGTGCTTTTTTGCCAGTAATTAAATGCCAGTAATTAAATGCCAGTAACAATTTGAACCGACTAAAATTGAACAGTGAACGGCAAAAACAAACAGGGGAAACGTGCAAAGACTAAGGAGCAAACAAGATTTTTTTTTAAAAAAAAAAGCAAAAGCAAAATTCCCGTTGGATTTGCAACCCTTCTGACCCCAACTCGAAACGCAATAATTCACTTCAACTGCCATGGTTCCCTCAACCACATTTCAAGAAAATTGATCAGGCAAGTGGCCAAACGGTCCTACCACATCCGTATCCAACTGAACGGTCTCCCCCACGTTGATGCGACGGGCGCCACTCTCCTGACCGTGGCACGAGAACAACAGGAGAAATTGTTTTTTTCAAAAAGACACTGCCTCGCCACTTTGCAAACTGTCGAACCAGTTGGGGAGACTTGCATTGAGGTGAACAATTTTTACAATGCTGACCTTGGGGCCAACATTAAACTACAAACGTGGCAATTTTGTAAAATGGAAACCTGAGACACACATAATTGCGCATTGGTTTCAGGCAAAACATTCGCTTGAAAACCAAAAACCGTTGGATTCGCGTGGGTCGGCCCTTATGGATATTATGACTAAACATGTATGGGAATATGATGGTATTGCCTGCCCATTTGAATCATCACATGGTCCCCTGCCCAATGCTTCAACCGCACCCCGAAACCCACACAACTCGCACAGGTTCCTGCATCCATGGGTTTGTTTTAGGTCCGGAATTCATGAGCCGCGTCTCCACGTATTCTCCGTCACAAGCAATGACCTCAGCAAATCAAACCAACAACGCTCAAACCTCTGCAAGATCCAACTTCTGTCACTGCTGGAAATAAATTTAGTGATCTCCACCTGCCAAACCATGCGTTTACTGCCCATGCAACCAAGCGGCCGTTGAATGCAAGATACTCCAAACCTGCAGTTTGGAAGGTCTACTACACGTGCACTGCATGGGCAAACAAGGGGCTCTCACACACGGGTTGGAAACACGCAGATGTGAAAGTGAACCAGCCGTCCCACGTTGGTTGCCGCCCGCCCCACCTCATTTTCAGTCACATTGGCCTCTGGCTGCGACAAGGCATCGCGTAGACGATGCACTCCCCTTGGCGGTCATAAACTTTAAACAAGAATGCCAAAGAGAGATTCTCGCATTGCTGTGCAGAGGCTCTGGAATGAGGCAGATCTGAAACTAGGCATATATGTTTTGAACACTTATTATCTTCTCAAAACGAAGACCCGGAAGAGCAAATAGGTTCATGAAACAAGTATTCTTGCTCAATCATGCGAACAATGATCAAATCCGCAAAACATCGGACTGAAATCATATCTTACCAAAAGCTTGAATATTCTTGAGGTTAAAGGGAGGCAACAACCAAAATCACGCATCAGTGAAAACCCGAACAAGTTTGCCTAAATCCAAACGAACCATTCTTCCAACGATTCTGAGTAGACGAAGGACATCCTGTGCATGAGCATCCCCAATGACTCATCTATTGCATGATGACATCATGCACTCTCCAAATTTGGACTCTCCAAATTTGGACTCTTATTGCCATGGTCTGATACTACATCTCAAGCAAAGCAAAAATCTGTGGGTCATATAATCACTGTTCACATCGTTTGACCCACGCCGTATTTCTCCCATTCCATGTCTCCATTTCCAGCATTTCATCAAGGCGCTCTTCGACGACTTTGATGCCATAGCGAATGGCCACAATCTCCTCCTCGGTCTTCAAACTTCGGGCCTTGGAGGCGTGGAGCACCTCTGCCACGGGGGTTTGTGATAGGTCGCAGGTCGAAAAAAATGATCTGAATTCCTCCTTGTTTACCCCACACCTCCATGAAACGATTCTGAAACAATCCCTTTGCACATCAGGTGAGAGCAAATCTGACTTCAGTCAAGGGAGGAAGTGTATCTCTTTCCCAAGCATCTCCATCATCTCCAGAAGCATAGGGTAACATGATATGTTTTCACCGGCATCACAGAAATGCACAAGGTCCCTTGCACTTATCAACACAAGTCCATCTAATTCCATCCAGACCCCGAATTGCTCAATGAGCTGAATGCACTAGCCCAAGCAATGATGAGGGAAGTTCTCAATTCTCAAGTGGACCCCAGCCAATTAAGTGAGAATCACCCCAGCCAGTCTTCTCCAGTCATATGCTCTACATACAATCTCTGGATTTACATCCAGATGTATGATAATGTATGATAATGTATGATAATGCATGCAAATGTATGATAATGTATGATAATGTATGCAAATGTATGATAATGTATGATAATGTAATACTTCAGGATCATCCCAGTTTATGTCTACATCTCCCACTATAACTAGGGTAACTAGTTATAGTCCATGGATTGTGAGGTCAAGGCGCATATTCGATGGGGATCTGCGCGTCAATGAAGTCAAATCCTCCCGTCGTCTTTGAGGCATAGCGTAACATAGCCATAGGATCCCATAGGCCCATAATATAGAGTAATATGATAATATATAGATTCAAGGTATCGGCTCAAACCGCCCCATTTTCAGTGGTAGGTCTGCTCCTTACCTAAGCGGGATTTTCCGGTTCATTCCCGCGGGTTTTCTTTGATCATTGCCTTTGTCTACCGGTCAGGTTCTGGGGTTCTCCTGTGCCAAAACCCGTTTGATATTTCTGGTGGTTTTATTTGTGCTCGCTTTAGCTGCCTTAACTGGGCCTCTAGCGTTGCGGAACTTTCCGGATCTTACCCAATTTTGATTTCAATTTTCTGGCACTGCGGGCGCCGACCGTGCAATTTTTGCTCTTTTGCGCAAAGGTCTCTGTTTCCGGATTGTTGCTTTACAACGACTTTGACTATTTGAGATTGTGGATGTGCTCTTTCCTTCTGTTTCTTCTCATTCATTTTGGTCATTGCCTTTTCGCATTTGCACGATTCTGCGCAGACAAAGTTCAAGCACCTGGAGGCGGAGAGACAGACGCCGAAGGGTGGCAGCACGCAGACAGTGGCATTTACACAAGAAAGGGGAAATTTGTTTGTCAGTGACATCACTGGCTCGGGTCAGAAACATTTTCCTCAAACATCATTCTCAGGATTCTGCATTCATCAGCAGGATCACGACAACAATCAATTCCAGAATGGCTACGGAGGAGGCTTATCCGTGGATTTGCCCGTGCGGGCGCCTAAACAAAAAGTCGGCGAACCTTTGTGTTGTGTGCTGGGGTCACGGGACTCAAGGCGTCAAACACGATGTCACACCGAAGCAAAAGACTTACGGTGGTGGAGCTCAATGGAGCGAGTCATGGGAAGATTGGGAGAACAGTTGGGGAAAATGGAAAGATTCGCCAAACTGGGACGATTGGGATGGGGCAGAAAGTACAGGGCGTGCCTCGTCTCATTCTCCGAGAGCAAGGCACTCTCCTCGAAGTCGTCAGGCAAAAGGCAAAGGGAAAGGAAAATGGAAAGGCAAGGGAAAAACCAAAGGGGAGTTGGCCTTCAGTCCCTTTGGTTCAGGAAAGGGTGCTATGCCCTCCTTGCCACCTTGGCCAGCTTGGGAGACTCCGGAGATTGGGGCCTCGCCCTTTCAGACAGCACAGTCTGGCAAGGGCTCGACTATGCAGGAAATGGCAATACATCTGCGCCTGCGCCAGGCGTACAAAGAGAAAGAAACGCCATCGGATGTTCAGGCATTTCTGGACAAGCAGAGAAGGAGTACAGCCGCAACAACATCAAATCGTTGCATGCTGCGACAAAAAGCCTGGATCATGCCCAAAAAGCATTGAGAGAGGTTGCGACAGCATCTTGGTGCGGGGGCTACTCCTGCGTTTGGTGATGCAGGGTCTTTGCTCCAGTTCATTGTAATTGATCAGAAGTGGAATGGGCGGGTCAAGACTGCTTTGAAATCTTGTTTGAGATTCAATGAGGCCGGTGCACAAGGGAAGTTATGGACGCTTCGAATTCAGGCTCAGATTTCCAGATTTGCTGATGTAGCGCTGAGGGACATCAGTCAAAAGGAGAAGAATTGGAAGTGTAGCCTATGCCCAGAAGGCTTCGATACCAAGAAGGCTCTCACGGTTCATGCCCGGCACAAGCACCAATATCGTACCTTGCTCAAGTACTTTGTTCTTGGGGATGAATGCTTGGCATGCTGCAAAAAGTTCTTCAATCGCACCCGCTTGCTTGCTCATGTGGGAAATTCAAGAGCGTGTAAGAACACCTATCTTGCATGCTTTGTGCCAGCTTCAGAAGAAGAAGTTCAGAAGCTTGAGGATGAAGACAGAGAAAACTATAGAATGCTGAAGTCCGAAGGATGGCATTCATCCAAAGCTTTCCTCCCAATGATTAGGGTATGCGGACCAGTGTTACCCGAGTGTGGAACAGATGGCGCAGCAGCGATGAAAGGCCAAATGGCACAATCGCATCCCAGTCAGCGGTCGAGCTTTTGAAGGTTTGGATGGATTTTGTGAATTGTCCTCGCTTGGATCTGAACAGGAGGATGAGTTTGTGCCTTTTCTCATGCAGACAAATGGAGGTAGAGTCCCAGGTGAGGCAGGAGTGTTTCAGCAGTACGGCCTAGCTGCTGAGACCGCTAGACTGCACATCAAGGGTTTTATATTTGTGCATTTTTTCAGCGGCTTTCGCCGCAAAGAAGACTTGCAACATTGCATGGAGAATCACAACATCGTTGGTGAGAAGCACATCTTCTGCATATCTGTGGATTTGTGCTTAGCGAAGCAACATTCAGACCTCACAGATGAAAGCAGCAACACCTTTTGGATTGGTAAAATGAAAAGCGGACAGATCCTCGGCATCGGGGGGGCCAAGCTGTGAAACTTGGTTGGCAGCGCTCACATGGCGGCCCCCCCCCGGTGCGATCTCATCAGTTGCCATGGGGAATAGCAGGCCTTTCCTCAAGACAATGGAAGCAGGTTTGCACAGGAACTCACCTCATCCAGTTTCTGGTCGAGTTGATTGCCCTAGCAGCCCAGCTAGGACTGTGCGGGTTCATCGAGCATCCACAGTATCCGGTGTGGCTGATGCGGAAAAAGCCAGCATCGATCTGGACTTGGCAGGTGATCAGAACCCTTGCCAGGCTTGAATGCTTCCAAGTCTGTTCGTTTGACCAATGTGTTTATGGATTGAATGCCACCAAGCCGACCTCGTTACTTTTGCTGGGGCTTAGCACTTTCCATGACATTACCGTTTCCAAAGGACGTCGAGGACGATGTGACCATCCAGCTGGGCACCAACCATTGCGTGGAATTCAATGCGATGGATCATTTACCACTGCAAGGGCGAAAATTTATCCGCCTGGAATGAATAAGGCCATCGCGACTGCAGTGTCCCGGTTTTTGGCCGAACGCCAGCTAGAAACAAGCTGGTCAGAGCTGCCGAAGGATATGCAGGAATTAATTTGCACAGAGTATACCGAGGAGTCAATTGTACAACCCGACTTTCATCGGTAGCATGACTTGCAAGGCCAAGCGTTGACCTACGCAGTATGAGCAAAGTGGACAAAATATATAGATTCTATATTATGATTCTATATGTATTCCATATATATCTAGATTCTATGATCTAATATGATAATATGATAATATATATATACATATATATATATACACATATATATATATACATATATATATATATACATAGATATATATATATACATATATATATATAATTATATATATGTATACATATATTATACTGGTTGGTGGTTTCAACCCATCTGAAAGATATGAAAGTCAATGGGAAGGATTATCCCATATATTGGAAAATAAAAAATGTTTGAAACCACCAACCAGATATATATATATATATATAGAGAGAGAGAGAGATTCTAGGTGGTGAAAGAGTCAGATAGCTGTAAATTTGCTCACAAAATGTTTGCCTGTCTTCCTGCTTCGCATCATGATGGGTAGCAAACCCACTGGTCAAACTTGTGAAATGTTGGAATGATGCTTCCCCTTCTTTCAGTTCACCGCAGTATTCCTCCGGAAGTAACTAGTTCACAACATGCAAAGATACTGATCCAAATAGACACTCTGAAGTAACACGTCTCCGAAAGATTGGAAAGGGAGGTCCAGTTTCACGGTCATCCTCAAGGAACTCAAGCCCAAACCCAAAAATCCCGAGCCTCTGTCTCGCAGCCCACGGGTTGCCCTGGCCCAGAGCTTGTGGGGGCTTGCAGTGGCACTGAAAACAGCGTTGTAAGAGGCCGCGTGTAATTTTGGAGACCGTCCTCTAACTTCAAAGTGGAGGAAGCTGATGATGATAAGGCATGATAAGATCCAGGCAAACATGCATATCAACAACAATCATAATCACTGATCATCATGGTCGTGGTCATCATTTTTCGCTATCATCCACGTCAACCTCAAAATCAACATATATATATATATTATGGGTATACATACAACGACAAACATCAACAACGTCAACACAATTAACATCACAAACAACACAAACAACACCAATAACACCAACAACATCAACAAAACAACCCCCTTGATGGTGTCCTGGGATGCTTTACGGGGGAATTCGAAAAAGAGAAAAACTTGTTTTTTCGAAAACATTTGTTAATATGCTAATATTGGACCATCACAACCCATATTAACAGGACCAAAGTGGTCCACTGGGTTTCAGCGAGCCTTTCTTGGAAGCGTTCCACGGCGATGCGCTTGCCGAAGGGACTCGTCTCTGCCAGTGGACCTCCGAGCTAGGCGGAAGTCAAAACATTCGGCTCCAAAGTGCATTAATGTTAATAAAGCAACGATAAACCACCTATATCATGTATGGTTTATACCGGTTTATACAACTGATTTATGGCAATGTTTTGGGATGGTTTACAATTGCTTTAACTAACATTATATAATTAACCAGTGCAGTTGCATTCCAAACAGCAATGCCATGCCCTAGAGCTTGAGAATCCAATGCTGTCCTTTTTGTCACTTCCTTGGGTTTGGGACACAGCCATCTTCCACTAGGCATCACTAGGCGTCAGCGCCGCTTGTTGTCATCCGGACCATTCCAGACCCTCAGAGCCACGACACGCAGAATCTCATCCATTTGATTCACCCAGTCATCGATCTTCTCATTTTCACGTGGACCAGCCGAAGCCATGGTAGCACCTCACGACCGTCACGACCCGAATGGAAAGTGCATGAAATGTCCAAAAACTATATAAAGCAGTGCCTACTTGAACCAAACAGCTATCATGAACTGGGCTGGTGTTCTCTGTTTGGCGGCTTCCAGCGATTGGAGGTGGAAACTGTTGTTCTCATCTGTCTTTAACATCGACATATCAAAGCCCGAAATGCGGCTCGCAAACTCACTAGGAAAGTTCAAAACGCATACTGAAAAAGCATGAAAAAGCATCCTCTCCACTTCATCCTTCTACTCTTCCTTCCCGCCCGCCTATGGCTGGATGAAACTCCAGCGATCCATTGAAGGCTTCCAACAAGGCGTCGGAACCAAAGGATCCCGCGAAGAGGAGACACTTAGCACCTCAGGGATGGTGCCATCGAACGGTTGGAAAAAGTGATGTTGGAACCACAGCCCTCAAACAGCCGAAAAAAAGTGATGTTGGAACCAACTAATCACCTGGATGCACCTTGATGCTAATTCATCACATTGGCTCTGGGGGTGTGGAAAGCATTGTCCTGTCATACCTCAAATTGTTCCAAGATGGTGCCAACTGGTTTCTTTCAATCCCACCCCCGTCAATATTCGTCCATGCTCAGTTTTGGCCGAGAAAAAAAACGACATGTCTGATGAACCGAGGCACTTTCGTTGGTGGGCACCACCAGGTACTGCGTGGGATTACGCAGATAGAACGGAATCATACTGCCTTGGAATAACTCGTGGAGGCATTCAAGACATGAGGCTGGGGGAATTTTGCATCTCAATCCCAGCCCATTGAAAGACCCAAAAGGAACGCCGAAATATGTTACTGTCAACGAGTGAAGTCATCATTGTCCATGTCCATGCAGTCAGGCTGCGAAAGTCTACAGCATACCTGCACGCAACAGCACCAACCCATCCAAATCCTACCTCTTTGCCTACTGATATCCTTCCACGAGAACAGAGTATGGCATCGCCGAGTATCGTAACTTTTCTAAATGTTCAAACAGTGCTGAAAATATACATATACATGTGTTGCAAAAGCCATTGAACGCAGAACGCGCATACAGAAAGAAACCAAGGGCCATGTTTGCTTGACTGCAGAAGCCTCAATTGATTGACAAGTATCCTTGCAACTGCAAAAGGTTATTTGTCACCATAACATCAAGAACACATGTCTAAAAAATATTAAAATACGCCTAAATACGCCAAACTGTGGATCTTGTCATAGGAAGGCTGGCAACCTGAAACTGCAGCCGCGGCCTTACATTGATTGGATCAAAAATCACTGCCGCCGTGACATTGTGGCGGCGCAGTTCTTCCCTCAAGCGCTTCAAACGGCCTCGGCAGAGTAATTTTGCAGGGCGGCGAATCCTTTGTGGATGTCATAAACACACAAGGAGGACAGATGGTCAACCCACCATTACTAAAGCTTATTTGATGGAATCGGCACAATCAACCTGCTTTTTTGCTTCTTTTGCTTTAGACAGTCACCAAAAATCTCAATTGAGCTCCCAAACACGTCTGAAATCGTCAGGAGCGAAAGCAATTTCTGTCTAAATATAGGACCCCCAGATCACATGATCCTCAGTTTCCCCACTCAAATGGTGATCATTTGAGGCATCCTCTGTCCATCTCTGAGCCCGTGCCTTGACGGAGCCTAGTCATGAAGTCGACGTCATCACGAAGTCGATCTCCTTCTTCGATCAGTTCCTTTGGCGGAAAACAAGGTGCGTCTGGGCGGTTCCAATCTTGGACTTTTGCAGTCGGAGCAGCAAAAAAGGAATGGGATCCGAGGTGTTTTGAAGCACCCGTCGAGTCCAAAATCAGGCCACTCTCACTTGGAATAATGCTCCATGATCACACGGTGGTTTAAAGTTAGTGCAGGAAGCAACCACCAATCCCACCACGGATACCCTGCCAGTGGACACGGTTGCTGTAGCGCTGTGGCACGTCCACCATTCCGGAACAGGATGCATCAGCAAGCCTGTGAAGCCAATCACAGGGCAGGCTGGGTGGCTGGGGCTGCAGGTGAGGGTTTGTCCACAGGGGATTTTCCGATTTACCCACAAGTTATTGCACCTGCGGCCAAGATTGTAGGTATTTGTAGTCAGCGCAAGGGAGTTCCAAACCGCACTTGAACATTCATGAACATTCATCCCGACTTCATCCCCTTGCCTTGCCCATGAGCTCAAAATCAGCAGCAACCACAGAACTGCCATCATATGCCCAAGTGACACAGCGATGACAGAAACGTCGTGGCTTGAACCGCACTGATTGTCGTGCGCTGCGCTGGAACATGGTGGAACATTGACACAGGCAGATCTGGCCCGGCACATCATGGCCCGTCCCCAAGGTTTGGTCCTTTTTTCACTGCTGCAAGGCGCTTGGCGTTGGAAAACCATTGTTTCCGGCTCATGCAGGATGGAAGCCAACAGGGATTTGGGTAGAACAGGTACATTCATTGCGTGTCAAACCATAGGGAATTGTTGATTTTGCTGAACACCAAACAAGTCATAGGAAGTTCTGAACGCTTCGAGCAGGATTATGCCTCTCGCTGCTGAATTCCTAGGTCTATCAGTTTAATCATGTTTAATCAATGTTCACGATGTTCCATGCAGCCTATGAATCGATGATTTCTATTGATTTGTGCATGAATTCTCGGCACAGATCGACAGTCACCAGGTCGCCTCGGTCCCGCGCAGAGTTCCTGTGGTAGCGCAACTAGACCCAAAAATGCGCGCGGATTTCCGCTTGCCGAAGACGCAGCATGAGATTTATCGCTGTGTCCACAGTCTTTCCTCAGTGGCAAACTCACAACCAGCAGAATCATGATTATTATAGAAAACGTCGATTTCGACAGTTCTCCAACCAGATTGTGAGATATCAACTCTCCTCCCTTTGCCCAATACTTGTTCCCTATTGTGTTTGTGTGTGTGTGTACAATATCCGCTCAATCCCATTTATACCATTTTATAACGACCCACGTTCCGGGTCCGGGCAAACAAACAAACATCTAGATACCGGACCACCCAGGATTACTCGTACTTTCAGGCAAGTCTCCACCATATTGTTTCGGTTTCGAATCCCAAGGATGATTTGGAACATCGCTAAAGTTAAAGTGATACTCGAAATACATTTCATCCACCAGTTCGGACAGCTCTGGGATGTGGGCGATGGACTCCACGATCTTCAGCTCAGGGCCCCCTTCAATGTCCACCTTCACCACGACATAGTCATCCACGGTGATTGTGGACTTCAAGAGCCTTAAGAAACTTCCTCGCCTCGTTGGTCATATTTGAAGCCTTTTTCAACACACAATTGTGGTGAATAAATTTTGGATGAATTGGCACAACAAACATCAAGCCATCGATATTGGAATATCCGACTTGTACTTGTACTAAGCATTCTTAAACCATCCAGTTTTGGGGGATATCCAAACGACCCATGCCGACTTGTGGGAAATTGTTCTGAAGTCGCCGAGCTTCTCGGTGAAGCGTCCTTGCGGCGATGCAGGACAGTCATTTTCAGCCACCGGCGCATTGTAGAGATGGAATCGGCCACGAACATCATCCGGCAGGGGACCCCAAAAGGTCTTGTGGTCAATCCCTCGCACCTGCCAAGGCGGCTCACCAAGGGCCCATGATATGATGGCGGTCAAAGGATCACTTATAGGACGACTTTTTGGATCACTTAGGACGACATTCAGGGATGTGTAGGTCAACCTTTAGTTTAACTCCATTGGATACACACCTTTAGGGAAAAATCTTTAGGGCGGGAATAGGGGACCGGGGAGAACTACTAGAGGTAAGAGACACGACATCAAACATCATCAAACACATTGGACTCCATCGGGTACACACCTTTAGGGTTAATCTTTAGGGGGGACAGGGGACGGGGCACTGGGGACAGGGGATAGTGGGAACATGTGGGAACTACTAGAGGTAAGAGACACGACAGCAAACACATTGGACCCCATTGGATACACACCTTTAGGCTAGAGTTAATCTTTAGGGGGGGACGGGGGACAGGGGACAGGGGACTGGGGACAGTGGGAACTACTAGCACGACATCAAACACATTGGACTCCATTGGATACACACCTTTAGGCTTAATCTTTAGGGGGGGACAGTGGACTGGGGACAGGGGACAGTGGGAACTACTAGACGTAAGAGACACGACATCAAACACATTGAACTCCCTTGGATACACACCTTTACGGTTAATCTCTAGGGGGGACAGGGGAACGGGGGACTGGGGACAGGGGACAGTGGGAACATGTGGGAACTACTAGAGGTAAGAGACACGACATCAAACACATTGGACTCCATTGGATACACACCTTTAGGGTTAATCTTTAGGGGGGGACAGTGGACTGGGGACAGGGGACAGTGGGAACTACTAGACGTAAGAGACACGACATCAAACACATTGAACTCCCTTGGATACACACCTTTACGATTAATCTTTAGGGGGGACAGGGGAACGGGGGACTGGGGACAGGGGACAGTGGGAACATGTGGGAACTACTAGAGGTAAGAGACACGACATCAAACACATTGGACTCCATTGGATACACACCTTTAGGGTTAATCTTTAGGGGGGGACAGTGGACGGGGGACTGGGGACAGGGGACAGTGGGAACTACTAGACGTAAGAGACACGACATCAAACACATTGGACTCCATTGGATACACACGTTCGGATGCATCGATATATCTTTCTATTGATACTGTAGCCATGTATCTCCGACGTAGTCCCAAGCGAGCCAAAACGTAGGCCTAAGCAAGGCAATGACCCATGATGGCCCATGGCTTTGGCCAACTAAGAGCGGGCTGGCAACTCTTATCTGCGAATCCTCAAAGTGGTTTATCAATGTTTATCCAGCTTGTCATTCATCGTACCTTACCTTTCTGAAGCTTTCGGACCAAAGTCAAGGGCTTGAGCGGCTTGAGGTTTCCCAAATCATCCCATGATCCCACCTCCCAAGCATAAATGGCGCGGAAGTCAATGCAGCGATCATAGTGCATCCATAAAAAAAAATTGGAATGGATCCCCCATTCGAATTTCCATTCGAGTAGTCACTCATACACTCGAAGCCCGCAACATTCGTACCAGCTCCAAGGTCGAAAAAGACACCTCGGAGGAAGTCTGGGGAAACATTGGGAAACTATCTCCAAGAGCCACCTTGAACGCCTTGAAGACTTGGTTGGTAATGTTTCAAATCCCCTATGGCCCTTGGGACATGTTCCAACCCCTTCTGCCATGCGCCTGTCACTCTGTTGCCACTTTCAGTGCAGGCATTGTCAGGCAGCAAATACGTCAGGTCGAAAAGGTGGTACCAGCGGTTTCGATCAAAACATGTGCAGGTTGGATGTCTTGCAATTCCGTGCAAAGGCTCGATGTATGGTTTCACCCGCGTGCCATCTGGTTGTGGATATTCAAAGTGGGGTTGGAGGAAACCTAGGACCTACAACTACCAGCACCGGAAAAGAGGTGGTGATTCTAGGCATTGAATCAGGTGGGGTAAGACCTTGGTCTCTCTTTTCATGGCAGCTTAGGAAGGACTCACAGGCATTGCATAGTTGCATCAAGAATACCTGTACATGGTGGTACCAAGAACAACACAACATGTTAATCACGCCTTGATATGCTTTGATAATCTGTGATATGTTCACCATGATCATCGTGAGACTTGTAGGCATCATGAACGATGATGATACTGGTGATGATCAACTGCTGGTGCGGATGGAGATGAGGATGAGAAGGGTGAGGGGGAGAAAACAGTCACAAACATGATCGAAACAGTGAAACAACGGAATGGGTACACAAAGCCATAGAAATCATGACAATCATGATGAGGAGCTACAGCAGGAGGACAGCATATTTACTGTGTCTATTTGGATGTGTATACACATATGGCACATTACATTACATGACATTGACATTAACCTTGACATTAACATTGATATGTGCATTTGCTATACAATTGCATTCCATTACATTACACTTCATCACACATCTCTATCCTTGAAATTGAGGGGCCAAATGTTATGGAACTTGGAACTGAGAGTGACGAAATGGAATAGTTTCGTTGCAAAAGTGACTTGCAATTCTCATCGGTCAAAAAGTCGAGGCCCAATCGAATGTTTTCTCTTCATTTTGACAGAAATGACCGAAACACATTGCTCTGCGATATGGACCACAGTTTAAGTTTGACTTTTCCAATTCAAGGGTGTCTTTCCACTTCTAGCAAACCACAAAACCCATCCATCAATACCTTCGTATTCCCATAAAAAAATGCGCAACAAGGGCTAAGGGTTGGGTGGCAAGAGTCGCTGGCTTCATGCTCGGTAGGTTCTCTGGTGGGCGTTCGGTTGGCTTTAAAAACGGAAGAAATGTAGCCCGTCCAGATTGCAGCCTTAGCTCGGTACCAATTTCAATCTGCAAGGATATAGGATGCTGGAGCAAAAATGGGGAGGGTTCCATACATGGGGGTACCCCCACTTGGATGGTTATGGAAAATCCGAAAATAGAATGAATGATTTGGGGGTACCTCCATTTTAGGAAACCTTCAAATGGGGACAGGGATGCCTTTTTTCAACAGACATGGCTGCGCATTCGGATTTTCCTGCTCGAACATGCCAGTAAGCGGATCCGCAGGCAAAGGCACCAAGGATCAATAGCTTTTTATTGGCATTCAAGCCTGCCGTTTGCCACGCTTCAAACCGTCCAAACCCTGCAAACGCCTTTTTGGCACCCCCAACCCCGCAGGCAAAGGCACCAAGGCCACATCAATAGCTTTCTCTTGGCGTTCAAGCCTGCCGTTTGCCAGGCTTCAAACGCTCCAAACCCTCCAAACGCCTTTTTGGCACCCCCAACCCTGCAGGCAAAGGCACCAAGGCCCATATTAATAGTTCCCCACCTGCCAGGTGAGGGTTGTTAGATTTTATCAAAGCATTTCTCCTCCTCCTCCGCCTCCTCTGCCTCCTCCGCCTCCTCACCCGCCGCCTCCTCCTCGCAGTCCAGATCACAGTGGGCACAGCCGGACCTCCACCGCAAGCTCCAGATCCCAGTGGGCACTGCCGGACCTCAACCGCGAGTTGCAGATCGCAATGGGCACTGCCGGACCTCAACCGCGACTTCCAGGTCGCAGTGGGCACTGCCGGACCTCAACCGCGAGCTCCAGATCCCAGTGGGCACTGCCGGACCTCAACCGCGACTTCCAGATCGCAGTGGGCACTGCCAGACCTCAACGGGAAGAATGTCAGAAAAGATGTCAGATAGAATGTCAGAAGATATGCCAGATAGAATGTAAGAAAGAATGTCAGAAAGAATGTCAGAAGATATGCCAGACAGAATGTCAGAAGATATGCCAGAAAGAATGTCAGAAGATATGCCAGAACATATGCCAGATAGAATGCCAGATAGAATGCCAGAAGGTATGTCAGATAGAATGCCAGAAGATTTGCCAGTAAGAAAATGTATAAATGTCATGGTGGGGATCACACGAAGTAAAGTAATTTTTTATTGGCGTTGAAGCCTGCCGTTTGCCAGGCGTCAAACCCTCCAAACCCTCCAAACGCCTTTTTGGTACCCCCAACCCCGCAGGCAAAGGCACCAAGGCTGATCAATAGCTTTTTATATTGGCGTTGAAGCCTGCCGTTTGCCAGGCTTCAAACGCTCCAAACCCTCCAAACGCCTTTTTGGCACCCCCAACCCCGCAGGCAAAGGCACCAAGGCCCATATCAATAGCTTTTTATTGGCGTTGAAGCCTGCCGTTTGCCAGGCGTCAAACCCTCCAAACCCTCCAAACGCCTTTTTGGTACCCCCAATCCCGCACGCAAAGGCACCAAGACTGATCAATATCTTTTTATTGGCGTTCAAGCCTGCCGCTTGCAACGCCTGCTCAATAGCTTTTTATCAATAGCTTTTTCTTGGCGTTCAAGCCTGCCGTTTGCCAGGCTTCAAAAGCTCAAACCCTCCAAACGCCTTTTTGGCACCCCGAGCCCTGCAGGCAAAGGCACCAAGACCAGCTCAATAGCTTTTTATCAATAGCTTTTTATTGGCGTTCAAGCGTGCCGTTTGCCAGGCTTCAAACGCTCCAAACCCTCCAAACCCTCCAAACGCCTTTTTTGGCACCCCCAACCCCGCAGGCAAGGCCCATATCTATAGCTTTTTATTGGCGTTCAAGCCTGCCGTTTGCCAGGCTTCAAACACTCCAAACCCTCCAAACGCCTTTTTTGGCACCCCCAACCCCGCAGGCAAAGGCACCAAGGCCAGCTCAATAGCTTTTTATCAATAGCTTTTTCTTGGCGTTCAAGCCTGCTGTTTGCCAGGCTTCAAACCCTCCAAACCCTCCAAATGCCTTTTTGGCACCCCCAACCCCGCAGGCAAAGGCACCAAGGCCCATATCTAAAGCTTTCTATTGGCGTTGAAGCCTGCCGTTTGCCAGGCTTCAAACGCTCCAAACCCTCCAAACGCCTTTTTGGCACCCCCAACCCCGCAGGCAAAGGCACCAAGGCCCATATCAATAGCTTTTTATTGGCGTTGAAGCCTGCCGTTTGCCAGGCTTCAAACGCTCCAAACCCTCCAAACCCTCCAAACGCCTTTTTGGTACCCCCAATCCCGCAGGCAAAGGCACCAAGGCTGATCAATAGCTTTTTATTGGCGTTCAAGCCTGCCGTTTGCCAGGCTTCAAACGCTCCAAACCCTCCAAACGCCTTTTTGGCACCCCCAACCCCGCAGGCAAAGGAGCTTTTTTTTGGCGTGGAAGCCTGCCGTTTCCCAGGCTTCAAACGTTCAAACCCTCCAAACGCCTTTTTGGCACCCCCAACCCCGCAGACAAAGGCACCAAGGCCAGCTCAATAGCTTTTTATCAATAGCTTTTTCTTGGCGTTCAAGCCTGCCGTTTGCCAGGCTTCAAACGCTCCAAACCCTCCAAACGCCTTTTTGGCACCCCGAACCCCGCAGGCAAAGGCACCAAGGCCACATCAATAGCTTTTTATAGGCGTTCAAGCCTGCCGTTTGCCAGGCTTCAAACGCTCCAAACCCTCGCCACATGAATAGCTTTTTATATTGGCGTTCAAGCCTGCCGTTTGCCAGGCTTCAAACGCTCCAAACCCTCCAAACGCCTTCTTGGTACCCCCAATCCCGCAGGCAAAGGCACCAAGGCTGATCAATAGCTTTTTATTGGCGTTCAAGCCTGCCGTTTGCCAGGCTTCAAACGCTCCAAACCCTCGAAACGCCTTTTTGGCACCCCCAACCCGGCAGGCAAAGGCACCAAGGCCAGCTCAATAGCTTTTTATCAATAACTTTTTATTGGCGTTCAAGCCTGCCGTTTGCCAGGCTTCAAACGCTCCAAACCCTCCAAACACCTTTTTGGCACCCCCAACCCCGCAGGCAAAGGCACCAAGGCCAGCTCAATAGCTTTTTATCAATAGCTTTTTATTGGCGTTCAAGCCTGCCGTTTGCCAGGCTTCAAACGCTCCAAACCCTCCAAACGCCTTTTTTGGCACCCCTAACCCCGCAGGCAAAGGAGCTTTTGATTGGCGTTCAAGCCTGCCGTTTGCCAGGCTTCAAATGCTCAAACCCTCCAAACGCCTTTTTGGCACCCCCAACCCTGCAGGCAAAGGCACCAAGACCAGCTCAATAGCTTTTTATCAATAGCTTTTTATTGGCGTTCAAGCGTGCCGTTTGCCAGGCTTCAAACGCTCCAAACCCTCCAAACCCTCCAAGCGCCTTCTTGGTACCCCCAACCCCGCAGGCAAAGGCACCAAGGCCCATATCAATAGCTTTTTATTGGCGTTCAAGCCTGCCGTTTGCCAGGCTTCAAACGCTGCAAACCCTCCAAACGCCTTCTTGGTACCCCCAATCCCGCAGGCAAAGGCACCAAGGCTGATCAATAGCTTTTTATTGGCGTTCAAGCCTGCCGTTTGCCAGGCTTCAAACGCTCCAAACCCTCGAAACGCTTTTTTGGCACCCCCAACCCCGCAGGCAAAGGAGCTTTTTTTTGGCGTTGAAGCCTGCCGTTTGCCAGGCTTGAAACGTTCAAACCCTCCAAACGCCTTTTTGGCACCCCCAACCCCGCAGACAAAGGCACCAAGGCCAGCTCAACAGCTTTTTATCAATAGCTTTTTCTTGGCGTTCAAGCCTACCGTTTGCCAGGCTTCAAACGCTCCAAACCCTCCAAACGCCTTTTTGGCACCCCGAACCCCGCAGGCAAAGGCACCAAGGCCACATCAATAGCTTTTTATAGGCGTTCAAGCCTGCCGTTTGCCAGGCTTCAAACGCTCCAAACCCTCGCCACATGAATAGCTTTCTATATTGGCGTTCAAGCCTGCCGTTTGCCAGGCGTCAAACCCTCCAAACCCTCCAAACGCCTTTTTGGTACCCCCAACCCCGCAGGCAAAGGCACCAAGGCTGATCAATAGCTTTTTATATTGGCGTTGAAGCCTGCCGTTTGCCAGGCTTCAAGCGCACCAAACCCTCCAAACGCCTTTTTGGCACCCCCAACCCCGCAGGCAAAGGCACCAAGGCCCATAAGCTTTTTATTGGCGTTGAAGCCTGCCGTTTGCCAGGCTTCAAACGCTCCAAACCCTCCAAACGCCTTTTTGGCACCCCCAACCCCGCAGGCAAAGGCACCAAGGCCAGCTCAATAGCTTTTTATCAGTAACTTTTTATTGGGCAAACGCTCCAAACCCTCCAAACACCTTTTGGCACCCCCAACCCCGCAGGCAAAGGCACCAAGGCCAGCTCAATAGCTTTTTATCAATAGCTTTTTATTGGCGTTCAAGCCTGCCGTTTGCCAGGCTTCAAACGCTCCAAACCCTCCAAACGCCTTTTTGGCACCCCTAACCCCGCAGGCAAAGGAGCTTTTGATTGGCGTTCAAGCCTGCCGTTTGCCAGGCTTCAAACGCTCAAACCCTCCAAACGCCTTTTTGGCACCCCCAACCCTGCAGGCAAAGGCACCAAGACCAGCTCAATAGCTTTTTATCAATAGCTTTTTATTGGCGTTCAAGCGTGCCGTTTGCCAGGCTTCAAACGCTCCAAACCCTCCAAACCCTCCAAACCCTCCAAACGCCTTCTTGGTACCCCCAACCCCGCAGGCAAAGGCACCAAGGCCCATATCAATAGCTTTTTATTGGCGTTCAAGCCTGCCGTTTGCCAGGCTTCAAACGCTCCAAACCCTCCAAACGCCTTTTTGGCACCCCCAACCGAAGATTCACGGCCGAAATGGTGTAAATGACGGAAAAAAACAGATTTTACCTTTCATTCTTAGAGTTTAATATGTTTTTCATAGATAGTCGTGTACTTACTATTGTGTATCTACCATATTACATATCTCTAAACATTCATAGATACACATGTACTCTGTACTGCATATTATATATACATATGTATATATATATATATGTGTATATATATATATCCGTAATTACTATGAATTACAATAGTCTACGATAGTCGATGTGCCATCTTTTTTTCATGGTGTTTCTCGAAAATGTTGTCCTCAAAATCGATCGTTTGTCATCACATATTGATCCCAATTGCAACAGGGACTGGCCTCCCCCATAAAAGGGGGTCGGCGGCACCAGGGCGTTAGCCCATTTATTGATTAAACTTCAAATTAAATCTTGTTAATTATTATATCATATCTAATAATAATATTTAATTGTTCCTCTGGAATAGTTTTTCCTCTTCAATTTATCGTTGTGGTGGTAACAAACAATAATTCAATCAGAGTTCAAATACTTAATTGTTCAATTGTAAAAATTATCCTAAACCTCTAGAGATTACCGAATAATCATGATTGTATAATCTTGCATATATAGTCCATACGTCATTATTAACAAACTACCGATCTTGTCACTATGCCATTCCACCAACATTGCAGCGAGAATCTTCTCCCCCCATGGATTTGATACTACCAGCATTGCCGCTGAAGCCACACCATGGCCTCGCAAACAAAGTTGATCAAACACCACACCCCCTGTCGTTTCTGTTGAATCTCCAAAGATATAAGTCAACCATAATCAACTCAACCTGTCCAAAGAAATCCCAACTGATCCGAAGCAAAACACATAAAGTGGGACCCATCAAGGGGTCATGATGTGTTTTCCACTTTACCAAGCCATGACAGCATAATGTACAATAATGCCATGTATATACGGTAAATATGTGGAGAAGGTTTGGAGCTGGGGTTGTTTGCGTTTTCAATTCTTTTCACATGGGTTACAAAAACGAACCTACTGTACGTCCGTGGTGTGGCTGCATGATGGACTGTGGATTGACCAGGTTTGCGCCCAGTTCAATCAGACTTTTCTGCGCGGCGTGCAGCTATGGTCATTCGCAACACTGCAACATACTGCAACGAAATATGATGAAATATGGAGGTGGGTCAAGAGTGGTCAAAATATGTGAAAATCCAAGGACATGATAACTGCTTTTGGTCGTTTCAGGTTGCAAACGATCCCATTTGCTTCAGCCGCTGCAAGCGCAGCTCATCACTGCGACACCTGGTCGAGCTCTCTCTAAGCATCAGCCACAGCTTGTAAAGCTGAAATTCCTCCCAGGATTTTGCAGGTAAAACATGGTACAGTAAAACACACCGGTTCAAAGCACCTGTGTTGTGGGAATCTAACACTACACTGGGTCTTTTCTCACATCTTAAAACCATGTTCAAACGGTCACAAGGGGGTCCCCGCCTCAAACCACAGTTGTCTCTTTGACCGGCACGCACTTCACCAATGACACCAGTGGCTAGCGGTGCACATTCCTCATCGAAGACTTTGGTGAGGTTCTTAAGTCGCTCCTGACCCACCTTTCGCGTGGTCTTGTAGAAGAGGACATCATCAGGATCAATGTCCTGGAGAGAAGTTTCCCATGGATGTGGAAAACTCATCAGCGATCTGTTGATCTGATCTACTGGAGGGCCTACGGCGAAATGACACAAGCCGTGATTAGCTGATCAGTTTCTTGCCAGTCGGACATTCAACCTTCATCATAGAATGGAATCTTTAGGACCTTGTATATACAACCAGAGCTGGACACTAGGTGGTAAACATCCCATTATTTGTAGGGTTTCAACCATCCAAGGTGGTGCAGGATTTCTTCTCCATCCACAGTACTATTCTTGTCTTTCGAACACTTTCTCGTTTGATCCTAAAGATGAACAAATGAAGTTTTTGAAGCACAAGTTTCGCAACCAGCTTGGTAGAATGTCCAAAGCATTGGCATAATAAAAAAAACATCTATATAATATAGTATATCACCAAGCACCATGGTACACCGTGTGGGTTTGTCTAAAAATAGAAGCCCAAAATCCAATGGCCTTATCATGCCTTATCATGCCATATCTTATTTCATGTTCCCTTAAATTCTTCCCCATTAAAGCGGTCCAGTTATGGCCCAGTCAACATCTGCCCAGTCGGTCCCGAAGTTGAAGGGTCTTGGGATCACGATCGCGACCAGGGGCATACGGATCATTTCCAAGCAAAGAGCACCTGGCCGCGCAATTTTTTTTTCGAAAGCACAAACGTTTTTCAGGGAACATCCAAATTCCAAGAATGGAACATTTGACAACTATAAACATGTTCCAGGTGATTTGTTCATATCTCTCAAACAAAACAAAATATCAAATATAAAAATGTAATATACAAGTTAAAAAAGGATGTAAATATAAAGGGTGAGTGGTGAGTGTCGAAAAATCAGGGATAAATCAACATCAATAAACCATGAACTGGTGAGTTTTTTCGGGAAAACCCTGCATTTTTGGACACACACACACAAACAAACAGACAGACAGACAGACAAACAAACAAACAAACAAAGAAAGCAAACAAACAAACAAACAAACAAACATACATACATACAAACATACAAACAAACAAAGCAAAAACATTAGCATCACCAGGCACGTCCTTCTCAACATGGACTGGTTTTTGACATTCATGCCGCGCCAAAGAAGCTGCACAGCTCTCAGGTTGAATCCCGCTTGCAAGATGTTCCCCGAAAGATTCAACTCGCCATGCGGACCGCTGCCAGCTGCACGGTAGCTGGGGATATCGCAGCTCAAGGTCGCATTCATGAGATCTGCCCCCACGGAATTCATCATGAAGAACATGGATTGAACGTGTAGCCTGGCAAAAAAAAAGACAAAGGCAATCTGTCACATTCAGTTCCTAGCTGGAATTTTCTGGAACCATCCCCACCTGGGTTCACAATTGACAGAAGTTCCCACCACCGGGGTCTGAGAATCCAGTTGCTCTTTGAAAATGGCCAAAAAATCTTCATCAGTGGTAAATGGCCCCCGCACGGAGCCGTTCATCAGAACCACATACCTGGGCATCATGGCAGAATGAGTGAGATGCGACCAAGAAAAAACGTGGCTGAGCCACCTCTGGCACCTCAAGTTTTTCCAGAAATTGGACAGAGAAAAACATGAAACTTATGTTTTACAGGCGTACCAACCACAAAGCAACAGCTAGCACACTTGTTTTTCTTGAGCCATACACACAAGGTATTAGAGGGTGAAAACATGTATATACAATGAGACTAACCAAAAACACCCCCGCCGCCCCGCAGTATTCACGGAGGACGGAAGGATGTCAATGTCCGGCATTTGACCTGAGCACGGACATGCTAGGAATCACTGTCAACCCTCACTACCATGCATGTGTTTGGTCTCAGCTCGTCGGATGCATGAGGCAAAAGCTTCGGATGCAAAAACATTTTGGATGTTCCAGGCATTGCAAATCTCAGACAAATACAAAAGTGAAGTTGGCCTGGCTTCCGCCAAGGCATAGGAACATTACCATTCCTCTATGCTGCCATTGGTTTCGGAAACTTCTGTAGCAGGCTGTACAAATGCGGACGCAATCTGGATCGGATGCTGGTGTCAAACTCTATTTTGAATCAATTGAGAAAAGTTTTAATGGAAGTTTTCATCTTTGAGTTGAATGTGAATCGATTGAACTGAATGACCATAGGTCTACTTCATCCAATCGGCCACACCTTCCGGCAGGCATAAACTCGCGGCACGAGGTGAAACACCTACCACGGCTCATACTCAACCGTACCGTCAGTGAAGGTGCGCTTGAAGTGCGGTATGCCATCGATCTCGCAGTACTCCTCGCTCCGGATCAATGCAGTTCGCAGTTCTTGCTGTGGTCTTTCCGTCACAGGTGCCGCAGCCGTGCTTTCGCTGGCAGGAGCTGGAGTGACATCATCAGGAATGAACAAGACCGTGTGGCCGCGGTCCGGCTTTTCCCGACTATGGTTCGGTTTCGGCTGGCTTTGTCTCGAACTCAGAAGTGTGGACAGTATGGACACAAATCCTTTGAGTGCCGCAGTGGCTGGAACCGAGGACAGGATTGGGGGTCTTGGGACTCCTACTCAAGCCGCTCAGGGGGGCAGGCCAGATGGGGACGTTGGAACTGGAGACAGGGCTACCAAGGCATGGGATGGGTTGAAGAGTGGGGCCGATCTACTGCATCTGGCTCTGCTGCACCACCACCTGAGCCAGCCCAGCCTCCGGCAACAGCAGCTTCTTCTTCCGGAAGCACTCCAATGCCTCACTAAACTCTCGACATAGTGGTGGAGGTCATCACGCTTGGTCATAATAATCTCCATGTACTTGAGGTGCAGTGTGATTGCCCCGCGCAGAAAGCGGTACACAAGCTTTCTGTTGAACTGGTGATCGTGGAGATGATAATTATCATATTTTCCACCTTGGGCAAGCATTGTTGAGCTGACACATTGCACTCCTCGTTCCGCCAACCAGTTCATATGTTTCCCCATTTCTCGGTTGTAAGACGGGGGCAGTGAGTAGCCGGAATGGTCACCGTGACTTGCACAGAGAGCACCCTCGGATCGTTGTGAATCTCCACCAATCCTTCCAAAGATCGCTGCACCTTCTTGTATTGTTTCTCGACATAGTCGGCTGCAACCTTCCGGTCAGCTTCAGACTTGGTGAGGTTCGTGGAATGGATCCAAGTGCACCCCTGACACCCGAAGTCACCATGAACATCATGTCCAGCCCATCCGACAACGACCAAGATAGGGAGTGTGGGGCGACCTTGAAGCCTGTTCTCCCTCTCGATCTTCTCAATGAGCTCCCAAACCTGATGGTTAATCGCAGAGAGCCCCTTTCCCCACTTCAAACCAGGATAAACTGATCTGATCTGTTTCAGGGCGTACTCTTTGGCCTGCAGCAGTTCGCCAAAAGCCAGTCGAGAACAATTGGTGGGGCTATCATGACTGGCCACCAAGGCAAACGAGGAATCACCAACAATAATCAAATCGGCCTCACCTTCCGGCGGGCATGCTGCAGATCCGAAGAGAGCTGCAGGAATGTCCTTCACAACCTCGATGAAGTCGCCGTAGGTCTTCTGGGTGTCATTGGCGTCCTTGCTGACAAGAGCGTCGATGACGTCTCCAATGGGCACCTGGCCTGACCCGATCTTGTTGGCCCCCTCTCGTACCCGTCGGGGAAGACGCAAGCCACACACGCGCCACGAATGGCAGCGAGGCGCTTCTCCCACTGCAGCACACGCTCGTATACATGGTGAGACGGTATTCGGGAGGAATCTGTTCCACTTGAAAATTTGCGTCCTGGCGCCAACAAGCATATTCAGTACCCGGCCGCCCTTCCGGGAAGCTCAAACCCAGTCGTCGAGCCTCTTCAACATGAGGAGGGACTGAGAATGAAGCCATCGTCGTAGAAGAACGGGCAAACGGGTCGGAAAGAGCGATCACAGCACACGCGAACGTTCGAGCAGATTGAGCTGCCCGATTGAAAGCTTTGTGCACACAATCTGTGAAATGGTAGGAATAACTTTCAGTTTCTTTGTGGCTTTCCTCTCCCTTGCACGTGGTCGTGTGACTCGTCGCATTGATATTGGGACAGTTCCAAACCAATTTCATCCATTGTAGTTGCGACAGTCCAGGGCTTCTTTATTGGATTTCCCTCGTGGTCTTGTGTGCCGAGCATACATCCATGAAAGTCATATCTCTTCAAGGAGTATTCGTTAATAAACTTCAGGACTCTCAGGAATCTCCAGTACCGGCAGTTTTGAGGCCATTCGATTGCAACGTCAAAACTTCTAGTAAGTAAATGGATAAACCGTTCAAAGGCTTTCCATAACTTCTTCATAGTTTTCACATGCTTCATAACCTTTCTAGCGGGACTTGGGATTTTCAAATTCACATGAGACCACGATGTGCCCCCCCGGTGCAAGAGAGGCTCAGCCATAAAAGGACATCTTTGGACACTGGAAAATCGTTCACAATGCTCGCAACATACAGCTGATATTCTTCAGCCAAAAGGCTGCGTTTCCCGGTAAACTGAACCACCCTACATCCAGCGGCTGCTTCTCTCGAAACATCACTCAACTTTGACATGGGATTGCAGCACATCTCCACGAGCAATCGTTTGGGCTTCAGACCGGCTCCCGGCTCCCCGGAGCTTCGACTGGATGCCAGAGCCTTGGGCTGTGGCGTACTATTTGTTGCCCCTACAGAACTGGAGGATTTGGTTCTACTTCCTTTGGATGCTACGTGGGACATGAGGGCCAGGGCAAACCGCCATTTCTCTGCATTGGTGAAAGGCTTAGTCAAAATGTCGGCTACCTGCATTTTTGACGGTCCGTAAGTTAGGTCATACCATCCCCTCTTGTACTGCTCTGACAACCACGACAAGTTGATCCGTTGGGTTTTGTCAGTGTGACGAAATGAGGGTGACTTCCCGTATTCCAAGATCCTGATGGTGGCTTGGTTGTCCTCGACGAAGATACCACGGATGCTTTTGGGAGGGAAGAGTGACACCATGTAATCACCCATTTTCTCTTGCCCTACAAATTCAAAATCAGTAAGTGCTTCCCGAACTTCCGATGACTCCACTTGATAGTCACTGTCGTATGGTCCAAAAACACGGAAAAATGTCTTTCCAGTCCACTGTATATCAACAGGTCTAGTTCCACGCTTCTTCCAATTATCTTGAATGAAGTCCATCATGCCGGAAGAAATGTAAATGGTCGTTCTGGCACCCAATGCGCTTGATCGGAAATGGGATAGTCTTGGACTCTTCTGGATGGAAAAGGTGGGCCCGTTTGTTTGGGTGGACTCGAACAAGCAACCTTCTTCCTCTGATAAACTCCCAATACTCACCATTACCCTCAGGTTGGGTCTTCATGCTTTCTTTTGGCAAACCTCCCGGAGTGCTTGATCCCCCCCCCACGTTCTGGAGGTAGGCCCACAAACCGGATGAAGGCAATCCTACAGCGCGGAGGGAAATGTTTGCAGCAACTACTTCAGCTTCAGTACTACAAACCGATACGGAAGTTTGTTTCTTTGAGAAAGCTGTGAGTGGAAAGTATGTGTTAGGACCAATGAGGACTAAGAAACAACCGGTGGTACTCTTATTGTCATATTCCCCGGCGTGGTCGGCGTCGGCAAAACACCATAACTGCACTCTTCAATTCGATCGCCTACGAAGGCTGTGAGCTTATAGTCCAGTGTAGAGTGGATGCAACAAATTAACCGATGCAAGGCTTTGTCACAATCATTTGACCACTTTGTTACTCTGGCAGCAAGTCCCTGAACGGCCCGTAGTAGGTCATATCTTGCCATACGGACAGCAAATAAGATCTTCATTAAGACTCTAGCTGCTATTGGAGCAAGTGCACCTTTCGGTTCGGACTCCCCTTCCAGGCATCTAGCGATCCTCTCCTCGTGGAAGGGTGTAGACACCTGTTTCAAGGGCTTGGCGTCTTTACCGGCAAGCGACTGATGGCGGTCGATGCATGATTGCAAGAAAGGCTGCATGTCATAGGTCATTACATTCACTGGCTTGGACATACAGGGTTGATCTTTGAATAACTGATCCATGTATCGGAAACCCTGAGCTCTAGCTTTCTTTTTGGCGTCATTCTTGTCTCTCTTAAGTGATGCAACTGCAATTTTGGGATCTTTGCATGTCTTGGCAAACAGGTAAGTAGCACCTACCCACAGTGAGGGTTTTCTCTTCCCTTGTGCATAGCCCCCCGCTTCATCAAGGTACTTGTCCCATTCTGAAACGGCATCATCTTCCGATGTGCTTTGCACAAAGTCAGTAAACCTCACGTTTGTCAAGTTGCATGCATTAACAATCTCTTCATCTGGAACATAATACCCTTTTCTTGGTTGACAGTGATGTCTGATGTAGACTCCTTTTTATGCGTCAACTTCCCAAAAGTCCTGAGTCCTCTCCGCTGCTGCGGCCTCCTTGGCGGCGGGGTCAGGAAGGGACTTGTCAAAGAGGTAGGCGAAAGGGTGGTCATGAACAGTAAGCTTCACTTGAAGT